TGGTCGTACGGTTGGCCTCAAACTGCTTCTCTTCCTCTTTGCTATGATTTGATCCTTACGTGTCGACATGAATTCGTCCCTGAATGAGTTGTTTCCTATTCGTTTCGCCTATCACTTTCTTTATAACTTAAACTTGCCGTCTTCTTCGAATGTTACTCGTAGTAATTTCGAGTTCCCTTTCGGCTTATTTTGCCCTAGAATCTCGATACTCATTATATCAACAACAAAATAAAGGAAAGAGAAATATTATTGTTTTATGATTTGAAGAAGTGAGTTCCTCAACTTTCTTCAACCTCTTTCAAACTTTGCCTCAACTAGTTGTTTATATTAAAGATGAGGGGAACAAATTAACAAGTATGATTTTTAATGCCATGTGAATATCATAAATGAATTTATTGCTCTTTTTTTTTTTTTTTAATTTTGTCTTACTAAAATGCAATTTTCAAAACCCTAAACTAATTTATTTGTTTCGTTTCGGGTTTTCCACGTTACCCATTATGAGAGTATAAATTATCCTCAAGAACTAGCATGTTTTCTCGAACCACTTCTGAGAGTATAAATTATCCTTAAAAACCAACATAAATTCTTTCAGCATATTTTGTCCACACTCACATGTTACTCTTAGGATGTTTTTTTTTAACATGTCTTGTCTTTCACTTACATGCTTTCTAAGAAAATTCTTAGAATGATGCCTAACATAGAATTGCTCTGAGCTAAGTATGCTTAATTTTTTAGTTGCTATAATTGAGTGTGAGATCTCACATCGATTAAAGAGGGGAACGGAACATTTCTTATAAGGGTGTGGAGACCTCTCCTAGTAGATGCGTTTTAAAACCGTGAAACTGATGCTGATACGTGATAGGTCAAAGTGGACAATATTTGCTAGTGGTAGACTTGGGCTGTTACATTGAGCCACCAAAAAAAGAACAGGTATCTTGTTGGTATAGGTATCACTATGATATCATTTGTAACATCTCATGCCCGGGATTTGGATTTGGAATTCAGATTTGGCACCCGGTGGCCCCAACATTCTTATACAACGTGATTTTGTTACTTACTTGACCTAAACCACTCTTAGGAAGTGAAGCAAATCCCCACATACTAACACGGGTTTTTTTAATATGTTTTACCTCACTCACATGCTTTTTAAGAAAAATTCATAGGACGTCACCTAAGAGAGAACTGCTCCAATTCAAACACGCTTAACTTTGGAGCTTCTATGATTGAGTCACTGAAAAGCTACCGAGTATAGATTTTCATCATAAACCATTAAATTTGTAACGACACAAGCCCACCTCTAGCAGATATTGTCCTATTTGCACTTTCTCTTTCGAGGTTCCCCTCAAGATTTTTAAAACGCATTTGCTAGGGAGAGATTTCCACATCCTTACAAAGAATGTTCAGTTCTTCTCACGAACCGACTTGCGATCTCACAAAATTAATTTTAATATCAAATATATTTTTAAAGATAGAAAAATCGAAAACTAAATGATTTACCGAAAAAATAAATTAAATTATCAATTTGGTCCCTAAAATTATGAAAATTTTAGAATTTAACCTTTTTAGATTTAAACGTTAGAATTACTCGGGTTTGATACTTTAGAAACTACAAGGACTAAATTGATATTTTTCAAAATTACAAGGACCAAATTGAAAATTACTTTTCTAAATTTTGTATAGTAGTAACTTCAAGAACAACTTCACGTCCCAATCATTCAACTGTGTTTATGTTAATAGCAAAAGCTGTAAGCAAGTTTGATTGAATGAACCCAACCAACAGTTTAATGCAAAATAATAATATTGCATCCACGTCCCTATTGACCCTACAAATTAAATAATTTCCCAATAATAATGCCCCACAATTTCTCATATTTACTTTACTCCTACCTTTTCCGGCGCTTTATTCTCTCAACTGAATCAGTACTAATGTATTATTTGCCTTCAAAAATTGTCATTCTATTGTGTTATTTGCCTCCCAAACTTTGTTTGAACATCTCTTTCTATTTATTTCTCTTCTTTAATTACTCCAATTCTTTGGGTTTTGAGATGGCTTTCTTTGGTTAGCTCGAGAGAACGGTAAACGTTAATGATAGATTAAAACAGCTATCGAATCATGACGTTGTAAGTTTTAGTTGTAAAAGAAACTTGGCTCGAAATAAAAGAACGAAAGAAACTGTTTCGTAGCTTTGAATGTAATGACCTAAATTGATGTTGTTGTAAAGATGACGACAAAAGTTTAATAGGATTTAACTGAGTTTGTTGTTTGATGGACAGACGCTACTAGAAAAGACAATTTTGAAAAGATGCTCTGATACCATTTGTAACGGCCCCTTTGGGCTTCCCCTGAAGACTTTAAAACGCGTCTGCAAGGGAGAGGTTTCCACACCATTATAAAGGGTGTTTCATTGTCCTCCCCAACCGATATGGGATATCACACGCTTGTAGCTGCCTTTGAATGAGCCTTTGTGTTGGAACAATATGATGAATTAACTTTAGAAGTTAAAGTAGATGCAACTACTTAGAAATAAGTATGTTTATTAGAGTAAGGATCAAGAAATCAGCTTAGACCGAGAAGAAGAAGAGACCTCGAGAGATTGGAAAATTTTCAAAGATTACTAGTTGACTACTCACACACAACCATTTACGTGGTTCGTAGAGAAGAAATGTAACAGCCCAATCCCACTGCTAGCAAATAAAGTCATCTTTGGACTCTTTCTTTTGGGCTTTCTCTCAAGGTTTTTAAAATGCGTTTACTATGGAGAGGTTTTCATATTCTTATAAGCGGTGTTTCGTTCTCCTCCCCAGCCGATGTGGGATCTCACAATCCACCCCCTTTTATGGCCCAGCATCTTCGCACTGGTTCCTTTCTCCAATCAATGTGGTACCCCCACCAAATCCACCTCCCTTCAGGGCCCAGAATCCTTACTGTCACACCACCTCGTGTCTTCCCCCTTCGGGGAACAACCTCCTCGTTGGCACATCGTCGGTGTCTGGTTTTGATACCATTTGCAACAACCCAAGCCCACTACTAACAGATATTGTCTAGTTTAGGCTTTCCTTTTCGGGTTCTCCCTCGAGATTTTTAAAACACGTCTATTAGGGAGAGGTTTCCACACCCTTTAAGGGTGTTTCGTTCTCCTCCCCAACCGATGTGGGATCTCACAAGAAATTCTCTTACATCTACATGTGGTAGCCAAAGCGTCTCGCTTACAAAATTCTAACCAATTGCCTCAAGAAAAATACAAAATGACACTCACTTTACATCTAGTAACAACACTAGAAAAATCTTTATATCGACATAGCAGTACTAATGGTCGTACATGAATTAGGATGATTCATGAGAGATGAACCAAATGAATCCAATAGATTCTGAAGTGAGGAATGTACCAAAAATATTCACGAATCAAACCAAATCTTCGTGATTGGAACGTGACCGTCTTTTTCTTTCCAAAACACAATATTGAACATGGACAATCAATATGTTTGAAGAGTTCATCTTCCTTAGTTTTTTTTGTGAAGAACTCTCGGTCAGATTCCACCTCCTATCGATCGATTGATCGGATCTAGACTTCTTTCTTCTTACTCAGCTCAAACCCTAACTCCTCTTTCTCTTCTTTCCTTCTCATTTTCTTGTTTTTTTTTTCTTTTCTCTCTTCTCCACTAATGGTCACTAAGGGTACCTCAAGACCCCTCATTTAGAAAATTGGGCAAAATGACTATTTTACCCCTTAGTTGACTTTGACCGACATTTTCTTTTTTTCTTTTTTTTTTAAATCTCGAAATTTTGAACAAAAAAAGAAAAATAGAATAAATTAATTTCCAAGGTGTTATAGTAAATTACATCAATGTGACTTTGTGGGCTTGCTTCATGTGGGGAAAACCCAACACCATTTAATAAGTGTATATAGGAAGTGAAGCCCAAGAATGAACTCAACCCAAAATGAAGCTTCAAGCCCATAATTGTTGGAGGGTGAAATTTGGGCCCCCAAATTCAATCTTATACAAGAACAATACCCGTACGATTCACGTTTAGCTAGTTGAGTTATGCTCAAATTGACATATATTATGTTCTTTCTCTACGTCTCCTACGAGTCTACGACATAATCACCTACTTTTTTTAAACTGTTGCTGAGAGTGAAGATTATCCTGACTAATTACCACGAGTTTTTTCACGATACTTCGCTCTCCCTCACATGCTTCTTAGAAAAATTTTAGGAAGTCACTCAACACGTCAAGCAAACTTAATTTTTAAATTTTTATGAATACATCACTGAAAAAGATTCTATACATTGTTGATATAGGTAGTAATCATCAATTCTTTTAAGTTTTTTTTGTTTAACCTTAATTTCGTACTATCAATGTAACAGGACACCGCTAGTAGAAATTGTCCCCTTTGACCTGTTACGTATCACCATCAGCCTCATGGTTTTAAAACGGACCTACTAGGGAGAGGTTTCCACACCCTTATAAGGAATGTTTCATTCCCCTTTCCAACTAAGGTAGGATCTCACAGTCAAAATTACACTCATCCAAATGCAGTCAAAGCTCATTCACATAACCCTCCTTTACTCGAACATCATAATGACAATGTCCAACCGTTTCGTTATTTATATAAATTACACTTAGAAACAACAACTTCGTTAAAACTCAAAAATCTATAGTTACATAAACCCTAACGAGCCCATAGTTCTAAGGTTTTGATATCAGTTTTTCACATCAGTCTATGAATCCAATAACTTTTACGTCCTAAACTTCCAACTTCTCAATCTCGATTCTTTTAACACGAGCCTCACACCGTCAAATATACCCTTTTCATAACATAACACAATGAATCGAAAAAACCCCATTAAATTAAAATTTCTAGAGAGAGAAGAAGGATTACCCTATCCTTAGGAAATGGATATGGTGTCTACATGGCAAAACCCAATTGGTTGAAAACCCAAGAACCAAATCCCACGAAGAATTATTATGTGGCCATCATTATTTCATTGGTTTATCATATTGAACGTTCAAATCTCATCTTCAAGCCATTAACACTCAACCTTCCCTTCACTTCACCAAACCAAGAGAGCCCATGGCTGCCTCTAACCTTTCATGCATCGCTTCTGGTGTGATCATACCATCTTCAACCACCATTTCTTCCTCTTCTAGGCCATCTTCTGTGGCTTTCTTCCCCAAGAATTCCATCTCTATTTCGAGATCATGTCGATTGGTTGTCCGGGCCGCCGCCGATGAGGCCGCTGCCCCTCCCCCTGCTGCCGCTGCCACCGCCGACGCCCCCGCTGAAGCGCCCAAGCCTAAGCCGGCCCCAATTGGCCCCAAGAGAGGTACCAAGGTGGGTAAAATCGATCAAATTTGAATCTTTGATCTTTTGAGTAATTTTAGACGCTCAAATCTTGTCATGGATTTGAACAGGTGAAGATTTTGAGGAGAGAGTCCTATTGGTACAAGGATGTTGGATCTGTTGTCACGGTTGACCAGGTTCGACACTTACAATTTACTTAATTTTATTATGTTGGTTCATGTTAGAGTGGTTAAGGTTTATGAGGATCTATGTCTTGTTAAGTGGTTAAGGATGTTTTGTTTTGAAATGGGTTCTTGTTTATGTTAAAATCGACCGTATTTAGTTGTTGTTCGATGACTATTTAGTTTTTAGTTTTCGAGAAAATCGTACTTATTTTCTTATAAATTTTTAGAACGATAAGCTGTTGAGCTTGATTTCTCGAAAATCTAGTGTTTCTTCTAACCATCTTTCGAAATTTCTTCATTTTGCGATTCACGTTTTAAATTAAAATTTACTAATCACTAATTCAGTGGTCGAGATTAAGATATAATCTCGACCCGTAATAAGAAGTTTGAATAGACAACAAATGAGTTGTAGAACGTTCGTATAGATTGATTAACGATTAATGTGTGAATGATATTTTGCAGGACCCGAACACTCGATATCCAGTTGTGGTTAGATTTAACAAAGTAAATTATGCAAGTGTATCAACAAACAACTATGCACTTGATGAGATTGAAGAAGTTGCTTAAGCTTTTTATGTGGTTTTGATTTTTTAGTTAAATGTTTGTATAATACTTCCAATTTCAATCTATTTCTCCTCTCTCCATGAGTGTGTTTAGTAATTCTTCCCATGATCTCTCTTCATTAATATATTTGAAAAGGATCGATAACGTGATTCGATGATATTTAGATTCTGAGCTCGATATGGGCACTTATTATGCAAAAGTATATGGGGTCGTGGTAGTTGTGTATTCCACGTAGGTACATGACTACCATAATCTTATACAAACCTAAGAATTTGTTTAATCTGGTGTTTGAGCGTTCTAGTAGTAAAGTCAGTACCTTGGTTATGAATTCTCGAAAGAGAAATAATCTATCAACTCATAATAAAGAGCAAAAGGTAATAAACCAAAAGAGAATATAATTTAAATACACGAAAATCACGGGACATTAATGAAGCAATCGATATAATGCGTTAGATCCACTTTTTAGTAGACGAGAATTTAAAAGTGTTATGGAAGGAAATAGAAATGTTCATTTATATGGACGTCTCTTGAATGGGTTAGAAATGGAAGAAGAAGTGGAGAGATTTTTTTTTTTTTTTTTTTTTTAGCTCAATAGGGCCGGGGAAAGATCTCTTTGTCCTCTTCGAGCTTTAAAACGCATATGCTATAGAGAGGTTTCCACGCCCTTATAAAGAATCGTTCTCCTCCCTAACCGATGTGGGATCTCACAATCTACCCTCCTTCGGAACCTAGTGTCCTCGTTGACACTTGTTCCCTTCTCCAATCGATGTGAGACCCTCCAATCCACCCCCCTTCGAGGTTCAGTCTCCTCGCTCACACATCCTTCCGTGTCTGGCTTTGATACCATTTGTAGCAGCCCAAATCCACCGCTGGTAGATATTGTCCTCTTTGGGCTTTTCCTTTCGGGGTCTGTTAGGGGGAGATTTCCACACCCTTATAAAAAAATATTTCGTTCTCTTCTCCAACCAATGTGGGATCTCACATTCCCACCCTCTGCAAATCCTCTGCAGAGAATCCTTGTCCAATCCCCGCGAAAATAAATGGAGAATTTTGCAAGGATGGAAATTTAAATAGGAGACGAGAACGGGATCCCTAATTCTTTGTCTTCATGTACGTAAGGACCCATGCTCAAGATTAAGATCAAAATTCGGAATCCGAATTCGACATCTGATGGTCCTAGCATTCCCCTGCATCCCTCATGACATGGTCACTTTACCTACTTATCGCTTCTTAAGATGGAAGACATATCCTGCAGACCAACACGAGTCTTTCAAGCATGTTTTATCCTCACTCACATGCATCCTAGGAAAATTCCTAGGAGGTCACCTAACATAGAATCGTTCTAAGTAAAGCATGTTTAATCATGAATTTTATATGATTGAGTCATTGAAAAATAAGATATACCTTGATATATAGATAGTAACTTTTAATTCTTTTAAGTTTTTTTTAGTCATCCTATCTCACGATGGCTCTAGCCTCAGTTCATTCACGTACCCCTTCTTTACTTGAGTGTCACAGTGTAAAATAATTATAACCTGTGTCACGTTTTTAATCGTGCTTTTATGGCATACGTGTGGTGGGTTTAAAAAAATCATTATGAACGAAATGTTTAATAAGAAAACGAGAAATTCGAAATCAAACTAACAATTATACAATAGAAGGATCGTAGGTACATGATGTAGTTGGTTAGAGGAACAATTTGTAACATCGTCAAAGTGTCTATGTCTCCCTGTTCAATGCCCCTAAGGTTTGAATCACGTTGCTCAAGTGAAAGATACTAACATCTGTTGCCTGGAGCCGAGGTTTTAGGTTATGATGATGGTTAGGTTATCTCCTCAATGATTCTCTTAAGCTCATAGGTAGTTGGGATGAGCTTCATCGTTCTCGTTCGGTCGAGGCATGCCTAAGAAATTTCCTAGGGCTAGTGATGCATTTTGCGAAGAAACGAAAGGAGTTTGATGATAGATACCCTAAACCTACTATATTTGCCACGTGTTTCACTATTTTACAAGTTACCGCACATCACTTGTTCGTATTCGTTTTATTAGAAAGAATTGATCGTAACAAAACGTTTGAGAGTTATTTGAAAAAAAAAAAGAAAAGAAAAGAAAAAAAAAGACACTTCCACTTTTGTATTGTCTGATTTTGATAGGCACAAAACATAGAAATTAAAAGTTAAATTAAAACAAAAAAAATTTGTATTTAAGGAGTGAGCGCTCATTCATTTTGCTGTAAGTTCCCTAAAACCCTAAAACTAAGGTTCAAACCTTCTGAAAAGCTTTTGTTATATGCAGCAGCATCAGACCCTTCGTCTCACCATTTTCAACTTACATATCTGAGGCCTCGAATTCCCAATCGGAAGATATTCGTTTCCTCCAATGGCGGATTCATTGGACCTTCTTAACTCAATTTATGGGTTGGTGTCCACTCCATCCACCAAGAAACGGATCCAGATCTTCCGAAGCCAAATCCCTGCGATTTTTGAGAATTCTGGTTAGCTTGGCTTTTTTCTGCTTTCAGTTATTGGTTTTCTTCTTCTGGTTGATATGATGCTCGATTGAATTCAATCGCTGTTTGCATTTCTTGAATTTTGGATATGGGTTTAACATTTTTTTCTGGGTGTTATAAGCATCGCCTTTTGTTTTGGCGTGCATGTTGGGAATGAATTCTAGGAATGCTCTTTTCATTGATTTTGAGTTTGTTTTGTTGGGTTTATGTTTACTCTTTTCATTGCTCTTTTCCTTTTGTTTTTGAGTTTGTTTTGAACCGAAATGCTGTCTTTAGTTAGTTTAGTATTTTTTTTTTGTTGTAAATTTGCGATGAAGAATAACCACACTCGAAATGACAGCATTTCGGTTCCTAGATTATTAAGAATTTGTTGTTTGTTTTAACCTGACCCGTTCTGTATCTGAGTAAGAAACTTAACTAGTTAATGGGGAAGTATACCTCCAAAGCCGGATGAGAGGTCTTTAGATATTTGCCTTATACAGATAAATTTGAAATTTATGGAGTTCATCCTAGTGCAATTGCCCTTAGGATAATTACTTCTTCTGAGTAGTTAATACCAATGTGTTAGCTCTATGGTTCAGCTGAAAAATTGACTTGTCAAAGAACACCAAGATCAAGACGCTTTGATTTGAGGACAATCCCATCTGATTGTAGTTCATCCTAGTCAAATGCTTTTTCTTTAATTTTCCTATTTAGATGGCTCCATTCTCCTGAATAGAAAGTACTGTAATTATCTTTAGACATTCTGGATAGCCTGAAACTTGGAGCTGTTAAATGGGTTGATATTTTGATTTTAAAGAGCGAGGAGTTGACAATTATGCTTGGAGTTTGGACCACCACAAGTCAAAAGAATGGTGGAACGAAGTCTTTTTAGTTAATCAATAGGTGGGACATTTTTCTATTTTCCCTAAAAAGGACGTTGTGGGGGGGGGGGGGGGGGGGGGGGGGG